AGAATAATGTGTTATTTACTTAATGATGTCAAAAAGTTGCTGTCCTTGACTCCCACTGCTACAGCATTTAAAAATGAAAAACAACTCCTTTGCAGACAGTGGGTAGGATCTAGGAAGTCATGTTATACCTTCAAGGTTAATTTGGCAAAGGACTAAAGCAGAAGGCTTAGTGGAGGAGACTAAGGCAAGCTGTTTGATAAAATCCTCTATAGATTAGATCACTGCTCTGCTTCCACTTGTGACGCTAATGGAAATTAATTGATCCACCTACAAGGATGTGTGCCTGTTACTAACACAGGCACTTTTACATTTCTTCACTTTTCTCTTTCAGAGGCAAAGAATGAGAGGTCAGAAGAGGTCATAGTAGCTCTTTATGTTTTTTTTTTTTTCCGCATATTTACTTCTCCGGAGGAGGGTTACAAGCAGTTTTAACAAGCCCTGAAGCTTCACAATCACTTAGATTTTTCAGCATCTTAATTGCTTTCTGTGATATGTATCAGTGAGAGCATGATAAGGCTAAAATTCAATTCAAAATCCCATGAGTGTTGACAGATGTAGGAATCTGACCGGGATGCAGGGCACAGCTGTACCCTTTCCGCTGGGCTCTGCCAGCACCCTAAGCCAAACACCTTGAGTTTTGGAGAGTTCACAGTCAGTCAAGATCTGCATCAAAAATGCACAGTTCAGATCCACTTTTGGTCTAAAATATGCCAGGCCACGTGCCAGAGGACACATACCTAATTACCAGGCTGTGCTGATTATTCCTTCGCCTGTACTTTTCCCAGTAAATTTAGAATAAATTATATCTTTGGCAAATTACACAAAGAGATGATTATACATTTAATTAGATGTTTACCTCTTGTTTTCTTCATGCAATAGTAACTAGTGCAGATTACAGGAAGTCAGAAAATTTCTTCTGTATGGCTACATTTTCTCAGGGTTAGATTCAATGAAAAAAAACAACAACCAAACAGTCAGGCTTTTGGTTAGGGGAATATTTATACCATACTCAGCTTTTTTTCTTCCTTTAATATGAAAATTAATAGTAACAGGGGACAGTGTCTCAGCTATTTGCAATCCATTGGAAAATGCATATTAGAAGGGAAAATACATAATTTATTAAATCTATTGCTTAAAGTGAGAAACTTGAGTTTTGTAAGTCTGGGGATTTTGGGTTATACTTGGCATAGGCTACTCAGTCTGCTGAATTATTCAGTGCTAAGCCTGCCAGTGGGAATAACAAGAAAACAGACATAGATTTTGAAATGTGTTTTCATTTGATTGGGAAAAAAAAGTTTAAAAATTAAACAGCTTCACTCAAAAAAAGGCTCTATTCCCTCCTCATTGAACAACTGTTGATGGATGACTGCACTTCTCCCTGTGAAAGGAGTACCCATGTGTATTCACTTAGTGGCACTTAAACAAGAATGCTATAAGAGACTGTACTGTCCATTAAACTGCCACAAATGTTAAATGTAATTAGAAATTGCTTCCCATTGCAACCATTTTTTTTTTTCAAACTAACCAAAAAGTACATATAAAAAGATAAGGACAGAAGATTGTCAAAATCCTGATGTCTCTTACACCTGTTTGAGGAAATCAGCTTAAAAGGAAAACTCATCACTTAGGATGAGTTCTTTCACCACAAAATCAGTTCCCTATGTTAGAAAAGCCCTCTGATTTCATTCAGAGATGGAGAGAATTGTGCAAAGAGTGGTACTTTTGCCTCAGTTTTACATGTTGTCAGAGGAAAGCCTGCCTTTGCTTTAATGAAAGCTAAATCTGACTTTTTGTTATCCAAGTATCAGATTACCTGGTGTCCGAAAGATTTCTTATGTACATAAAGAAAAACAGTTTCTTGGCAACAAATATCTTCAACCATCACAAAGAAAGAATTGTTTCAGGAACTGAAGTAAAACCCCTTATTTTGTCAAATCCTACTTTTTTCCTTATTAATACGGGGTAACTCCCTTTTATAACAGAAGGCTCTTTTTCTCCTAATCACAAGGTTGGGTAAGACCTCAGGAGATAGGAGGGATCAAAGTAACTAAAAGAACACTCCATTTTACCTATGCCGAGCCACACTGTTCAGTTGGAAACAGGAATTGCTAGCAAGGGGCAAAAAAAAAAGCATCTGAATCTGAAAGCTTTTAATTCCTGTCCATCCCATTTTTCCCACACCCTACTGTATTCTACCTACAGCTCTTCTGTGTCCTATGACCAACACTTCAAATAATCTCAAAGAGCATGGATGAAGACAGTCTCTGCCCATGATTTCAGTCTCACACCTCTGGTTCTGCACTTGTTCAGCAAAACATAATCCCCCAAAACTGAGGAAGTGAAGGTAGCAAAATGACCTCATGGCAAAACACCAGGGAGTCTAATTAATAATTAAAGGAAAAAAAAAAAAAAAAAGTAGCAAAACTCCCAGGTCCTTCAAAGTATGAGCATGGTCCTCCACACTCAGGAGTCCTCCATGCAAAATCACATGCAGAATGGTGCACCACAGGAGCGTGGCATTCAAGCAAAGGGCAAATCAAGTCATAGCCTTCACTGGAACAAGCCAAACCTTGAAACACTGCAATGAAGCCACCATGGTGGAGCTGCATGTGAACCTTGATCAGTGAGGAGTTGCTATGTGACTAGGTAGTAGCACAGCATCTAAGGAAAAGGATGTACCAGGCTGTTGAATTTTACATCTGGCCATTTCATCATATGACACTTTTCCTTATCTTTGGATAATGTTATATGGATTCACAGACATCATGGTAAGACAGTGCCAATGTGTTCATTCACAGACAGCTAAGAGTAGCACCAAGGCAAACAGCTAATTTCTGGACATGTATTTCCTTAAGCTGTAGGAAATAATTGACTTTTACAATGAGACAGCTTTTCTGAGATTCATATGTGCGTGCTTTCTCCAAATCATTTTTTTTTGGACATTTTTGTTTAATATGTCATAAATTACATACAATTAACTGCTATACATCATGATAGCACTAACCTTTCAATATTACAACATTTTATCTATTCTTCATCATGTTTTGGTGAAAAGGAAAATGCTTTTTGTATTTTCTTTGATTAATTTTATCAACAAGGGAGCAGCTGTCAGGGCTAGAAACAGCACTTTTACAGATTAAAAAGGCTGCAGAAAGTTTCTAGGTTTGTCCAAGGAGAGACATTCTAGGTGAGGAAGAAACCAGTGGAACAATTTTAAGAGAAACACATAAATATCATTTTCATCAACATGTACAACTCCCTTTGGAAGAAAAAGTTCTGCTTTTTTAATACAAGCAAATACAAGCTAAGATTTTTCATATTCAGAGAGTTCACAAACAGTGACTAACCAACATACTTTTGCAAAGCTTTCTAAAGATATTTTTATTTAGCAATATAAGGCAAATATTTCAGCCTGATGACAATAGATCAGAAGAATGGAACAATAAATACAAATTGGATTTATTATTATCATCCTAGGACTTGAGAAATATCACCAAGCTGACTAATAACTCTGGTCACTTCGCCTCTGTCTCACTCTTGTCCAGTTTGTGAAGGGCTCTTAAATATGTGTCAAATGCAAACAAGAAATAATAAATAGGGAAGGTGTGGCTATATACAGGAAAATGGACATCTGAAATTTTTAAGGGAAAAAAAAAAAAAAAGAGAAGTATAAATTACACACATTAGCCTGATCCAGGGCTATTAAATTCAGCTGGAGCTCTTCCATCAGGCTCAATGACCTTTGGACCAGACCCACCACTGTTGTGATAAAGTGCAGAGTTCTCATCTCCTGTAGAAACTGTTTGACCCAAAATCCAGTCTCTGTGCTGGAGCCCTCCCACCCCAGCTGGGGCTGAATTCAGACCACACTTCAGCCAGGACACCTGAGCTGAAATCTGACCTATTTAGCACACTGTTTATTGAAGTAGATACCCCAATTAAAATGCAAGCATCATGTGGATGGACTCAGTCCAACTCTCCTTTGAGTCTAACTGACTGGAATCAAATTTATCTGTCTACTCCTGCTGCTCTGTGACAGTCTGGCAACACAAAGCAGTTGTGAACTTAAGGGACCACTTGAAACATAATTGGCCCAGGTGTAAATGGTTACAAAAGGGACTAGGCAAGGTAGCATGATCTACCCAGTCATTTTAAGATAGGGTCATAACTTTTAAAGTTTTATTTTTCTGTAGGAGACCCCTTTGCTCTGTGCAGCAGTGAGAACAAGGAACTGGACAGTGGATGACAGCTTGCATTTGTCACAGGATTTTTTTCCAGTGTGTTTCCTGCTTTGTAGAAGGTGAAATAATTCACTTGGATTTCCCCAGTTCCTTTGCAACTCTATAAAAGGCAAAACTGATATGGAAACAGAGTGCTTATGGGCAAGATAAAATCAGACTTAGTCATTTTTGTAGTCCTTTCCAATTACAATAAACTAGAGGTGTGGTTTGTTTTGTTTTGTTTTGTTTTAAGGAAAACAGCTCTTGAAGAATTCTGATTAATTCACAAGTTACCCGATTCTTTCACCATTTGTAATCTTTTAGCAACTTAAAAGATGTAATCTTTTTAGCAGGAACATCTTCTAAACAATTCCTAAAATATTAAAATATTACTAACTACTTTTTTTCCTTCCCCCCCCCCCTTTTTTTTTTTTTTAAGTGACTCTATTCAATCTTGAAATAAACTTAGGCTGATATTTTCAACATTTTATGTTCTTTTACTGTTTAGTGAAATGCCCCCTTGGGCTTACCCAGAACTGGATGAACTTACATGAAAAATAATATGAGCTGTTACAGTACTCTCAGCTTAACTAGAATAAAGACAAGATTTTTTTTTTTTTCAGAAGTATTCACACATTTGGAATCACAGAGGTCATAAAATAAATGAATACATGGGTCCTGATATAAAATCACCTTGCAAAACTCCTTTAATTAACCGATTTCCAGTAACTTACACTTCCAGATGTAACTCACCGTGTTGTTTACATTTTTTTCCCACAGCCCTAGAAACCATGCCTGTTCCATTTGGTAGTTGGTTCTTGCTGGTGTGTAAGTATCGCAGCACTTCACTAGGTCACATTTCTTCTTACTGACAGTTATACACTTTCCAGCACAAACCACAGAAGTAAAGCAGACTTCTATCTGCTTTGCAACATCTCAATTTTTGGAACTATTTGAGAACCTACAGGCTCTTGGAGCTTCATTCAACTCTCCTTTTTTGTTATATCACCACACTCACTGCTTTTCCAGAAAGATAAGAGAGGTTGGGGTCTTTCCATAGTTTGGTGTCTTCCTATACTAACTTGCATGTTTTAGCTTCACACTTCTATTTATTTAAAATATTAGCATATTTTGTCTTGGGAAGTTCATTCAAAAACCTAAATTAGAAACACTATGTAACATCTAGTTCCTGAGCTCAAGACAACCTAATAATTGTGGTATAGAAAATTAACTCCAGATTTCTGAGTATTAATTGTATGTATTAACGTCTGTGCATTGACAGCATTAATCCCTATAGTGCAATTGATGGCATCACTTGAATCAAAATGAATTGTGCTATATGAAGCCAGATTGCCATCTTGTACTTCCATGAGAATAAAACCCCTGGCTGATATCCCTCACTGATGGTTACACCAGCAACAAAAGAGGCTCTTAAGGACTACTAGATATAATGCCATGCCACCCTCTATCAGTCCTAAAAGCTAGAGCTGTTCTGGGGCAAGGCACAGATGGCAAAGGGCCATTACTGGCCAACACAGAGTAGGAAAGCCATCAGGGTACACCAGCCTGAGTGCTGGGACTCCTAAATTACAGCCCCAGCTGACCCTCTTGTGCTTTCCTTCAACTAAACCAGTAGAAACTGAATATATACATGCATAAATATATGTACATGTTTATATTTGTAAACATTTCCTGCCAAGAGACAGATTTTCCTCTCCCATGTATTAATTTGCTCTCTCACAGACACATTCCTTAGACTGTAATTCATCAATGTTTGGAGGAGACTTAAGTTTGCTGTGTTCGTACATGGTCTACCATTACAGTCCATGCCTGGAGCTTCCATACATTTGTGAAATGTAAACTGTAACTACACTAAGAGTAATAAATATAGGATATATCCTACAAACTACTGCTGGGAGGCAGAGTTGCAATGTCTTTTAACTTTTTTTTCATTCAAAAAAATAAGTTACACTCTCCTCAGATACCCCTTAACATTTTACACTGATAATTTTACTAGACATTTAAGGTATGACATAAACTAGCGAACAGATCGATGAAGACACATTTTAGGTAGACTGGGTGTCCGCAAGCTGCTTTCTTCTCCGTGTATAGGTGCTGTAGGACCGCCGCTCATGATCCACACCGATTCAGCCACATGCCTCTGGTACCCAGTGACCCTGCTCCCGGTGCTCCAGGTCCTTCGGCTGGCATCTCATAGGTCTTCATAACTCAGCCAGAGACTTCTGATTGATGGCGGCACCCAACACTAAACACAAAGCTGTTTGAAGATCTCTCGCGGCAGGGTGCCTTGCCCATTGCAGCAGTGCCTTTGAGCCATCGCAGTACCCAGTGCAACAATAAAAATCCAAAAGAGGGAATGGAGGCCACTACAGTCCCGTGTAAAGGGCACTGCAGCTTCCCGTCTCATAGGAAGCGCTCGCTCAGTGACCTATCGTCTCTGCTGTCTGGACATCTGTCTCTTCACTTCCTGGAGCAAAATAAAACAACACCAAAAGAAAGTGTCTCTTTCTTTTGTTTCGCTACTACTCTTCCGCAGGGGCTCTCTGAACTTGTGTGCCCAGCTGGAATTAATATGCCCAGAGTCTCCACAGAGAAGGCTGGGGAAGTGGAGGAGGCCCAAGGGGATGGTGTGAGTATTTGCTGTTGATATACACATAAATCAGAACCAGTGTATCACTCCGTTGGATTTCTGAAGCAGGACAAAGGAACCTCAGTTTGTGATGTGACTCTCCTAGTTTTTATGTATCTGGTCCCTAGACTTGTATGAACAGCCCTTGGCATAAGTAATAGCAAATGCCAAGAAGAGAAAGGCACATCTTTCTGCAGCTCCAAATAAGCCAGGAAGGATGCATTATAGGCAGGCTGCAAGGACTCATGTACATCTATCTACCTGAGCTTGAGAGCTGGCACCTCTTTGCAGAAGAGGCTAAGGCAAAGGCGAGATAGGCAGGGAGGGACAAGGGGAAGGCAACTGCAGAAGTAGTAAGCACTACTCTCAAGTTAGTTTTTTAATGCCACTCTGCTGTAGGAGCAGCTTGGCACTGGCTGGTAAGTGACCCAGCAGAATATCGCCCTGGTCAAACACCCCACTGGTGCATCTGCATCACAGGCGCGGTCCGGCTTCTGGATTTCCCCTTTCCAGTGCAAGGTGGATATCAACAGAAATAGGGAAGGAGGCATGTCAGAGTATCCCCTAGACAGTCTTTCTGAGAAAGTCTACCTTCTTGTTCACACACAGAGGTATACCTCAAAGGCAAGCGGGTTTTATAGAGCTTTTTTTCTGCCAGTTCACTGTGCCTATAAGCCTGGAGAGCTTCCTGCTGTAAGCTTTGCTTTTAGCTTTAGATCCCTGGCACACTGATGTCTGTGAGAGATAAATGCTAAATGGAGGAGGGCCATCTGACCACTACATGTACAAGTGTCTACATTGCTTAAGTGTTACCTCAGTCTGGTTTGGATCACTGCGACTAGATTTCTCAGCACAGTTTGAGTGACAGGTCACTCAATAGACCAGTCTCAAAAGTTTTTATGGATGTTCTAGAGTTGGCCTCCCTGCCTTACATAGTCCTTCAGTAGGCTTTGTTCCCTGAAATGACTCATGACCTCTAGCCTCAAGCCATAGCATGCATGTGCTCAGTGTCAGGGCACAAAAACACTAGCTGGGTGGGCTGCAAAATAATCCTGTCATTATTTCAATCACTTTGAACTGAAAAAAACACAAAAAGGATAATCATTATGTCTTAAAGACAGAGACATAACCCATGGGGCCTAAAAAGACCTAGGACCTAAAGAGCTATAACCCATGGGACCTAAAGAGACCAACTGCTATTATGCATGAATGTGGCCAGTTTGCTCTAGAAACACTGGAATGGAACTGCATAGAAGGAGGACACTTCCACCTTTTTGGTTAGGAACCAGTTTGTTTAGTCTGCAACACAGTCACAGCCAGATAGACCCCAGTCTTGATATTACACTATAACATGTGGTTCTTATTCTGCTCTGATCGCTACTATATCTAATACCTGCTGCCAGTAGCACTTACAAATGAGGGAAATGAAGTACAAAATGGGTGATGGGCTTGCTCAGAACCAAGAACAGAACTTTTGAGTTTAATAATCAGCTAATGTGGCCTAAGAACTTGAATGAAGATACAGACTTGAAGGAGGGGAATTGACAGGGGAAGCTCTGCTCAAAGAGGGAGTTCTGGTGTTAGACTGTGAAAGAAATAAGAAATTTGTCTTACGTAAAGAGAAGGTGGTGAGGTCCGAAGTGTCAACACTGATCAAAGTAGAATATAGGAGCCTTATGTTAATTTTATCACAGAAATTTAAAAATTGAGAAGGTTTTCTGAGTTAAAGACAAGAAGACTAAATTTGATTCAGTTAGTCTCTGTACTGATTTGCATTCCTAAAAATAACTGTCATTTCAGAACATACATTTGGCCCACTGGGTGAAGTTATTATTCAATCCTGTCTGGTATTCAGCCTGGGTAGTAACAAGTAACACATGTTGATCAAATGGAATTACAGACAAAATGTGTTGTCCTTACCCAATTAGGCATTGCTACACATGGAGTGAAGTATTTCTTCCCAGCGCTCACTGCTGATGGCTTTATGCCTTCGAGTATCAGGCTGAATTAGCCTTATCTCCTGCAAAGCTATATATAGTATTTTGCTGTTGTAAAACCTGGCATTAAAGTTGTTTTGGGTTTTTTTTTGTACACATTAACCTTAGGCTGCTTGTGGTGGTTGGAACTACTGGACTTTCCAACACCATGATATTCTAAAAATATGGAAAGCCTTGATTGTCCACATGGAAAGCAACAGAACCTCAGAAACTCTTGGAACAAGGTATACAGTGTGCTACCAGGTAAATTATGGTGTCATGATTGAAGCAAGTCATCTGGGAGAAAAGCTGAGCAAATAGAGCTGGTGGGAGATTTATTGATCAGATGAGAAGAATGAGTATGTGCCAAACCTCCTACACATCTGTACTGATGGATCCTGACATCTCCATTGTGTGTAGTCAAGAGAGTTATTGCCCAGGGTCATGGATCAGAGCAAACTGAGGCATTTCAGACATGAAGCAGCAAAAAGTAGCCAGCAGTTCCCTTCTCTTTCTTGTGCTGAGAAGATTTCTATCAGAGCAGAAAAGCTGGACTCATGCATCCTGAACCTGGATTTGTCCTAAGGGGACACCAATGACAAACTGTTCTTCAATATTTTTTTCCTGACAGCACAAACTGACTGGAAATGATGTCAAGAAGTAGCCTGCAGGCAGAAATGGATAGCATTAACTAAAAGAAAACAGCACTTTAGTTTGTTCCTTGGACCTGATGCATCTCTTTAAGACTGCAAATATTTTTAATGCTCAAGCAGTATAAACAACCTTAGCAGTAGATGCCAACTGATCACGTTCCCAAGTAGCAGCTAGGGAAGGGCAATTCATGCAGCATCACAGCTGCTGTGTCTTTGGAAACATTCATCTCCAAAACAAACAGAACAGCCAGGAAAGAGGTGAGTAATTGGATAAAAGAACCCCCTGCTTTTTTCTTTTTTTTTTTTTTTTTCATTTCATTTCATCATCAGACATGCCGAATGAGGAAGATCTAAGAAATATTTGTGTCATCAGTATGGCTTTGGGTGGGGAAGAAAAGGAGTACACAACAAAGAAAATTGTATCTATTATGCCTACTTAGCAAGTGGTTTTTAGCATTTGTTTTCCAAATCTGCTAAGGATTTGTGCCCTGTCTTTCTGTTTCTATTGTCAGCACTGCAGACCTTCCTAGTTTGGAATTGTCTTGAAGACACTTTCAACTTGCAGACTAGGAACAGTGACAAAAGTAGTTAAATTTTCTCAGCAAGTCACTTTCCCTGTCAGCCCTCTAGCCAGGTCCAGAAGCTATCCATATTTATTCACCATTTGACTGAAGATTTATACTGCTCCCAGAGGAGCTCTTTGCTTTTTTGCAACAGAGCTGCCACTCCCTCAGTATCAATAGGTCCAAAGCGAGCCACTAGTATCTCCTGCCAGTAGTTCCAGGAGGCCTCCATGATCATGTCTTTCCAGAAGAAGGGCTTGCTACTGTCATTGACTGGGGAGACCCCTTACCAAAACTCCTTCCAAGCATGTTAATTTTTATTTTTTAAACTCCTGTTTGCTTTAGTATCATCTTTGGCACCAGGGCTAAAGATGGTCATTGTCAACTAAAAGTCTCAATGCAGTTTGATGCCTAAACATGAAGATAGGCACTGACTGGGAGTCTCCAAAGCACATCATCCTGCAGCTCACAAATCAGTGCGAATTAGCCACTGCCATGTGTACAAAGTTTAGATATTTAACCACTATCTAACCTCCATTTTGGGGCACTTAAATACAATCTCATAAGCCTCAAAGGCTCCAGCCTGCTACCACCTGTATGAGTGAGCAGCAAAGTCCCTGTTGCACTGAGAGAGATCACAGAATCATAGAACATCAGGTTGAAAGGGACCTCAAGGATCATCTGTTTCAGCCTTTCTTGGCAAAAGCACAGTCTAGACAAGACAGCCCAACACCCTCTCCATCTGAATCTTAAAAGTGCCCCATGTTGGTGAATCCACCACTTCCCCGGGGAGATCATTCCAGTGTCTGATTGTTCTTGTTGTGAAAAATTTTCCTCTTGTGTCCAATCAGAATGTCCCCAGGAGTAAATGGTACCCATTACCCCTTGTCTTCTTTTCCATGTGACTCCTTGTAAAAAGGGATTCTCCATCTTTGGAGATGCTCAGCTACAGCTCCATAGTGACGTGCTGAGGAGGGAGGCAGATTGTTCTTGCAGGTTCCCTTCCTTTTGGCCTTCACACAGCTCTGCCCAGAGATGTCCCATGGCCAGACACTATAAATTAGTATCATGACATTCTAAACTTTTCACTGTTTTTGTCCCTTGACATTTTTTTCCAATCCACAGAAGTATTTCTCTGCTTCCAAAAGCACCCAAATGCATCTAAAACTCTGTCCCTGGTTCCAAGTGAAGGATTTATCTTCTTTTTAATTTGTACATTTTCACTTAAATTAAAATCCTACTTACAGCTACAGCTTTGCAGTGGATTATAGGATAATTTAGGAATTTTAAGCAACAATATGTGTGATTAGTAGTTATAGTCCACCTTGTCTATTCTGAGGAAGGACAGATCTTCCAGCCACAGGAGTTTTCACTTTTGTATGTTGGAATTTTATGACTATCTCAAGGTTTACCCAAATCCTAGTGGGTACATCCAGAGCTGCCTCGCACCCTGCTAGATCCCTAATGTCCTGGGTTTTAGTGCGTTGCGGTTTTTTTTTTTTTTTTTTGGTAGCAGGGGAAGGGTCTACAGGGGTGGCCCCTGTAAGAAGCTTCTCAAATTTCCCTCAGCTCTAAGTCGGCCCCACCTCTGCCCCAAGGCGGAGCCAATCAGCTGCGCCTTTGCAATAAGGTATTTAAGAAGGGACCTGGTGAGGAGTCGGACTTGTGAGGAGGAGTTGCGGCACCTGTGTGAACACCAAGGTCAGTGGAGGAACGGAGGAAGAAAGGAGGGGGGAGGTGTGCCGGAGCAGAGACCCCCCTGTATCCTGTGGTGAGACAGCAGGGCGGCCCCCCCTGCCACCCATGGAGGTCTATGGTGGAGCAGACATTGTTTTATGGCCTGTGAAAGGCTTTGCATGGACGAATAAGGTGGCTGTGCCCGGAGAAGACCTGGATCTTGTAGGAAAAAGCAGCCCCCACTGTTGTAGTTCAGCGCTGGAAGGATTGCAGCATGCGGGGGTGTCCCACGCCGGAGCAGCTCGGGAAGGACTGCAGCTGTAGGAGGGACTCCAGTTGGAGAAAGTTGGTGACCCACACCAG